CCATGCACACTCTACTTCATCCTTCAGAGCCTCAATCACATTCAGGACCCATCCACACTGCCTATCCCTCTCAACTGTCAAGTCTGTATCATCAGAAATGCTGGAGTTGGAATCCATTGAGATTGGAGATGGCAGAGTAATGAAGAGGATGCTCTGAGATGAATCAGAATCCCTGTATGTTGCAGTTGAATCACTATTATCACTACTATCAATTTTGTGATGCACATTTTCCAGCCTGGCCATTGCTACTTGCAAGCTAGCTTCATCAAGTTGTCTGAGGAGGTTTTTGCAGAGAGATTTGCAGGGCATTGTTCTTCAAGACTTAGCTATTTAATTATTTGATATACTGCTAAAACTACTGTAATTTAATTTGAGTCTGACAGGATGTTGCACTGTTCAGCTTGTTGGAGTTGAAAATGTAGTGGCCAGAACATGTTTCCAGAGCCAGTGCCAGAACACAGACAGAGCACTTCCAGAGCACTCCCAGTGCCACCTTGAGTGCCACTTATATGTGATAATTAAGAGTCTGTATGGTATGTTCACATAGTCTCGCTACACAGTTGCTTGCTGGCTTTGGTATTTTACTTTGTTTGTGATCCTGGCAAGCCACTGCTCTGCCATGCTGTGGGGTTTGTATTTTGAACTGCTCCGACAATGATGGATAGTGAACCCCTGGAACCCCTCCTACTGATTATCGCAGCACTAGCGATGCTCGTTGGTGAGTCTTGCCTCAAGCTAGTGACTGAAGATATGCCCTCCAATAAGGATTGAGCCAACTGGACTGAGGAAGAGAAAGAGGCCCTTGTCGCTTTCCTTGTCGATGAGAAAATTGCTGGCAAGATGGGCGATGGGTTGTTCAAGTCTGCCACTTGGAGTGTGGCCACTGCCCACATAAACAAGAAATTCCCAAAACAAAAAGGTGTGATGAAGACCTCTGATATGTGCAGAGGGAAGCTCAGTAATGTGAGTATCCTGTTCCCTCCCCAGCGCCTGTGTAGCCTCATCAATCATTATTGGTACAGCTCAAATGCATACTGAGGGATATCAACTTATGGCAAGGTCATTCTGGAAAGCATTGGGATAATGAAAATGGGGTGAATATTATCTCTGAGAGTGAGGAAAGTGACTTCAAGGAGTGGTTAGCAGTATGTGTCTGTCATCTTGGGTCCATCGCTTGACATCAATAACATCCATCAACAGGGCCAACCTGGGAATGCTATGCGCCAGTTTAAAAACATCAGTTGGCCCCTGCTTACAGCAATGGAGTCGCTGTTTCCAAATGACCAAGCCCATGGTATACGTGCCTACTGTCCTACAACTTCTGTGGCATTCATATCTGGCACCAGTGGTCCTGGCCTCTCCATAAACCCATCTAGCCATACCTCCAGTGATCTGGTGATGACCCCATCCACATCCTCTGCCACTTTACAGTTCGTTACTCCTCAGGTTGGAAGCTCTGCCAGCATCATTGAAGATGATGTGATCGATCAAATGTCTGTCGACAAGGTAGCTCCTGCTAACAGAATGAATGTGCAGTCCCAGCTATTTTCAACGCAATGTAATCCACCCATGCTGACTCTCGCTTCCCCTACGACATTACTTAGCTCATATCCCCCCTCAACTACCAGCTCTATGCCATCAAGTAGGAAGTGTACACATGTGGATGCCAACCCTGCTTCACCCTCTGCTGAAATTCCATCGGCACAAGCTGCACTCCAGTCACTCTCTATCAAGGATGATGCAGAACGCTCTTCAAAGAAGTCAAAGAAGAGCAAAGAAACATCCACACCCGCTTTACTCATTGGTGTACAGGGTTCCCTTTCATACCTTGGGTCTGTTATCAGTTCATCGTCTGCAGTTGCCGCACAGCAAAGGCATACTGAGCGTATGCACACTGCTGTGGAGATGCTTGCATGGTGAGATGATGACTTTCCCCTGTTAGCTAAGATGGCCCTGATGGAAGCATTCCATATGGATGGGGGGGTGATTGATTTATACCTCATGTTGGATGATAAAACTCTTCGTAGAAACTGGATTCAGACTTGTCTTCGTAACCAGAAACTCATTCCAGATGACCTTGTGTTGTAGTACCTCCATCATATTTGTATCCCTGCTTGCAATTTATCTGACCCGGTGTTTTGTTATGCAAAGAATGATCCAGAGATATTCATTTAGAAAGTGAGAAAAGTGTACATAAAGCAATCTCTATGATCAAGTTTGCCCTCACTTCTGCAGATACTCCTGGTAGTCATGCCACATTGCCTCAGCAATAGAATCATGCAATGCCCTGGCTGATAATCCTTGAGGGTCATTGTCTCCCTTGTCATCCCCTGATAGCATGCTTTCTTCTTGCTCGATGTCGCCAACTTCCCCAGTACCCCCATCACCTCTGCTATCCCCCTCCGGCATTTCTCCATCAGCATCTGGATCCCATTTGTGTGACATAATTAAATTGTGGATAATGCTTAGGGCGACAGGACTGAGCGCCTGGATCTCGATAGGATATTCTGGAGGGAGAAGAAGAATTCGGAAATGATGCTTGATGACACCAAAGATTCGTTCAACAACATTCCGTGCAGATGAGTGATGCAAATTGAAAAGCTCTTCTTTGTTTGCAGGCCTGTAAAATGGGAAGTAAATGGATATCAATCACGCAGTAAATGCATACCTTAATGATGCTTGTCACCACTCTGCCAGGTGATAGCGTGTGTGGCAGTAAGGTACGAGGACTCCTTCTGACAATGGGAAACCAGCATCGCCAAGGAGATACTTTGTAACCATTTTGTGGAAGTATCTAAGTACAGATGCTGGGTGTGGAAAAGCGAATCAAAACGTACCTTGAGATTGTATCATTGGATCTCTGAAAACATTCTCCAACATGTCTGATTGGTAGGCCAATGACACACATATACACAAAAATTGTGAGCTGTTCTTCAAGAGAGGTGTGCTTCGAGGCTTGGTAGCCATGGTTGCGGAGTTTGAGAGTAATTTCTTTGAATGTGTGTATGCTCATACCTAACTCACAATATATACAGTCTGGGTGACCAAGGATCAGTTCAACCAACCAAGCCTCTCCAGAAAGTGCAGATGTGTGGTATGGCCATATATTCTTAGGGATCTCTCCAGAGAGGAGATTGACCATTAGTTTGGTAAGAATCTGGACAATGACAAGGACCTTCTCTCATATGAGCTCTCGTGATTGATGTGCTTCTTCATCATCCATGGCTGCATGCCAAGCATTGATCAGCGATATGAGCACAATATGAGCATTGCAGCTGGCAGTCAACTTTCAATTTCTGACCATTCTTACTAATCACCCAATATGCCTCTGTAGAATTGTCAAAGAGTGTAGTGAGACTACGCAAGCATACCATATGGACTCTTATCAGAGGGCATATCTTCAGTCACTAGCTCAAGGCAAGACTCACTGATGAGCGTCACTAGTGCTGTGATAATCAGTAGGAGGGGTTCCAGGGGTTCACTATCCATCATTGTCGGAGCAGTTCAAAATACAAACTCCACAGCATGGCAGAGTGGTGGCTTGCCAGGATCACAAACAAAGTAAAATACCAAAGCCAGCAAGCAACTGTGTAGTGAGACTATGTGAACATACCATACGGACTCTAACACTTGAGTGTGTTCATGGCTGTCCAGGGTGGCCAGCATCACTGTGATGTTTGCGTGTGAACGAATTTCCTTTTTTGGATCACATGCATGCCTGTGTGTGTCTGGACATCCTGGATGCCCTCCCTTGGGCTGCAATGCCCAGTCCCACTATGCTACATCACATAACATAAACTTGTATTACTACACTTGTGCACTACATTTCCTTCGATATAATATTAAAATTATACAGTGGTTTGTGGCATGCACACTGTTGTGCATTTGCACATGAGAACACATTTCCTTTTTTGGATCACACGCACACCTGTCTGTATGTGTCTGGGTGTCCCAGATGCCCTCCCTTGGACCACACTGCCCAGTCTTACTATGCTACATCAAATAAACATGTATTACTTACATTTCCTTCGATGTAACACTAATATCAATGCACTCTACATGGTAGTTGGTCATGTGCACACCTGTGCATGTCTGGGCATCCTAGATGCCCTCTTTGGGCCACAATGCCCAGTGTAACTATGCTCCATCAAATAAAACTTCTGTTACTACAGTGTATACTGCATTTCCTTCGATATAATAGTAATATTAATTGTTTATACATTATGGCATAAAATCTGCACATTTATTTTTCGCAGCCACACCGCCACACCACTGTGCTCATTCAGCCACATCATTACTTGTCATGGTTGCACAACCACACTACTGTGCCCTCTCAACTGCATCATTACCTTCCACAACCATGCCACCATGCCCATTTGACCGTGTCATTACTTTTCACAGTTGCACAACCACACTACTGCACCCTTTCAGCCACATTGTTACCTTCCACAACCACACCACCATGCCCTCTCAGCCATGTTGTTACCCTCCACAACCACACCACTCAACTGCATGTCACATAACAATACTATGTGTATATTCATATATGCCTACATGACATAACAATCAATCAATGATTGAATTTTGCATGAGGTATATAGAAACAACAATGATTGTATTGGCTAGTAAATTTACCAAGTGGTGGGTAACATGAACATGAACATATCAATGAATGGTATCATAGAAGTTATTCAAATCTCTGACAACTCTGATAAAAAAAAACTTCACCATCTCCTCCCAGACAAGCTGCATCCTTCATCTCCTCCATCAAGGGAGATCAATGAGGTGGAGAGTGAGATTGACGAAGTGAGGGAGACTGATGAGGGGAACATGGTGGGGAGCATGAGGCTTCATGGTACTCGTCTTGCACATAGTTGTGACCAAGTTCCTGAGTGTATTCCCCATCGCATCCATGTGGCCTGTAGTCATGTGAGCCATCCAGGCTCCAAGCCAGGCCCTGACTGTGACCTTTGCTGGTCTCTCCATGGGGTAGGTGAGCATCAGGAACATTGTTGGGATGTCTTGTATTGGTGAACAGTATGGTAGTAGTTGTTGAATGCTTGTTCAATGCACTCCATCCAGACACAATTAAGCTGACTAAATCATTCCCCAACAAGGCTGTAGAAGGTGGAGTAAGAGCACTCTTGCAAGCAACACTCAATAATCATGTTGATGAGCTCGATCTGACCAATGGTCATGAGTATGATCTTGAAGTAATTAAAATAATGATACTCACCTGTTCTCCTTCCTCTGACTGGATCTTCAAGAGCTTGTGGACCACTTCTTCATAGTTGAGAGCATTCATGATAGTAAGGTATATCATTTGTCATAGATTGACTGAGTTCATCCCCATCTGATCCAATATACCTTCTTGTTCTTTGGCTGCCAAAGGGTCAAAATTATGACACAGGAGTGAAAGAGTTGCATACCTTGCTCTTCTTCCTCACTTGACTCCTCTGGACCAGATTCATCATCAGAGCCCTCTCCAAGAATCTCAGCTGTTATTGCTTTGTACTTTTCCTCATTCTCTGCATAATTGGGGATGAACTTGAGAATATCTGCCCAAAAGCTTCAAATACTAAAACTGGTAACAAACAACAGAAACTCACTGAGCCCTTCTTGTGCCTGCAACTCCTCTTCAAGGCATATGTGGTGCGTAATTTGCTCCTCTTCCTTTACGAGGTCCAACCCGTCTGGTATGATTGGGTTGTCCTTATACTTGTCTTTCTGGACCTGCATAAGCACCTCTATCATATATTGTATGTGATGACTGATGGTCCCCTCATTGAGAACATCATGGAAATGGTCAAAAACGAGCACATTTGCTTTTGGAGAGTTTTCCACCAGAAATGTGCTGACCTCACACATGAATCCAACTGCAATCTCAATTGAGTCATCCATTTGGTGCTCAAGGAGGAAGATGAGGGTTTCAAGTGCAATAATCTCATGTGCAACAGCTTGATTGATGAGGTGAGCAATGAAAGTTGTTGAAGAATGACCAATGGTCTGTCTGGCATGACATCAACAATTCAAAGCAGGTGGGAAAGAATTGTGACTTACTTTGTTGTTATGCTTGAATGCATGTCGAAACTGGCTTATGAGCCAGGTTAAGATGAGCTCTCCCACTTGAGGAAGTTTTGTGTTGATAATGGCCACCAGAGTGGCAAAAACAGGTGTAAAGGGTAAGCTGGATGCCTGTGCTTTCATGACGCTGTGGGCAAATGGTCCTCAACCTTGTATGAGGTTTTCTGAGAATGGTTCAGGAATGACCTGCTTGATGTCAGCAACATTGACTCGGTTAATGATACCAGTGATCAATTTGTGCAGCACATCCCAGGATGACTGTAATCTTGACTTGACTGAACATGGAGATGAAAAGTTGGTGGCCAGACAAGGATGATTATGTCAGCAACTGGTTGTCCATATGGCTACAGTGGCTCAAAGGTGGTTAATCACTGCTCATGTGCACTGCTCACCTGGCCACTGACTTTTCATTTCAGCATTTATGATAGTAAGATAATCTATTATGATTTTATTTGAAGTAAGTCTCGAGATGCAAGGTGTGGAGGCATTGGAAGGGGGGGAGGTAACATGTGATTAGTAAGCAGCCACCAAGTGCAGATAAGATAGTATGAGGTGTAGTACTTCAGATCACAATAGCACACTGCAGAATTACATATAATTTTTGTACTGTCCTCTAGGTAATACACAGGGCTCGAAGAATATGAATTTTTTGTGAAGAAATATGCAGTACTTGGATCACAATCTTGGTTATATGTATATGTGTAAAATCAGCCTACTTTTTTTTTTTTCTTTTTTATTTCAGACTTATATAGTGGTAGAACTATTCTAATTTTTATACAAGAACCTGAATCTAATTTACCTGGTGCCGAATCTGCAAAAATACTGGCAATCTGACTTGAATTGATTGAGATGTTCAGATTCTAAAATTTAGCCACTACATGTGTGTGATTTTGTTCGTTTGGCCATGCCCTCAGTTTTGAAAATGGCCATAATTTGAAACAAGGTCTCGAAACACTATACATTGTGACAAACCAAAGTTACATTGTAAGATGCTAGATTTCTATGTGCAACAACTATGTAGGTATGATTTTGTGGACAAGGCAATCTTTAATGTGAGTAATGAATTGATGAGAATGTGCAAGTGGTTTGTTCAGGTTCATTATATGTGAAAACATATGCCTCTTACAATCCACACCGACCCAGCCAAATTGCAATCCTTTGAAGTGATCGATAGCTTCATCCAAATGCTGTGGGTTCCTTCCATCAGTGATGAGGACATCGACATCGTGATGGAAGATGGTGAGACTTTGCCACCAGGATGGAATGATCCTGGTCCATCCATCCACATGTCAACATACTCTGCATCAAGGTCCACATCTGGATCGCCAGCATCATGTGCTGGTGTGGGTCCATCCAGGTTAAGTCCACTTACCCATGATGGTTGCACATATTGGCCTTCTAGGCCTTCATCATCTGCTGGGCGAATCGGCGGTGATCTCAAGATCTCCATCAGCAATGGGAGACATGGAGAGCCGTGTTTCGAGCTCTCCATCAGCATTCTCGTTCGCATCGCCATACCCATTTCATTCGCAGGGGTCTACATCGAAAGATACACCGCTCGATATCCTCTACATCCCAGACCCAAGCCGCGAGGTGAAATCGAAGAATGAGGCAAAGGAAGATCTAGGATGGGCGACCCTGCTGTATAAAACCTCACCAATATGAGGTTATCAAGGAGCTCGGAAAATTCGTATACAAACTATCGGAAAGCAAAGAGGGCATGAAGGTGGTGGTCAGCGAATGGGTAGGCCCCCTTTTCACCCACAGGTGCAGTTCGGTCTGCTGATGTATGCATTGCAGCTTTGGTTGGCAATGAACATGGAAGAGTACAACGATGGCAATGCATTCGAGCTGAAGTACATGAAGTGGGCAGACTTCAAGGCCATCGTACTCGATCCGATCAGCCAGCAATCTAAATGGAATGAGCTCGTACGGATGGACTGTATAATCGGAGGCATCGACTACACGATCGATTTCCGGTGAGCGATGAAATTACAATTGCACCTTGGAGGCATGGTTCCGATATGGCCTTCAGATGCAAAGGAAACCCAGTATGGGCTCGACGAGATGGAACTGTGCACATACGAAAATCACTTCGCACTTCTCAGCCGTCAAGTACAGTTTTGGCCCCCACCAGATCAGGTTCGGACTGCTGCTGTCAAGTGGGAGACCCTGGCACACCTGCAGGCAATTTCAGCTATCCACAGATGGGTGGTACCGGAAATGCATATCATTAGCGATGGGGACCCTATCGACGATTCCTACGTCCTGAAGCGGAGTCACAGCGACTGTGGCAAACATGTGATACTTCCGACCGCCCCGAAATCAAGCCGCACCTGGGCCCATCTCAAGAATAACACGAACGAGGACTCGGACGAGGTATGGATCGCCCAACAATATATCCCAAGCTTGGTGTTCCTTGGGGAGTGGCGGGTAATCATAGTCGGAGGGCAAATCATGTCCGTCACACATACACATCGGTTAAACAACGGCGGCTGGTCTGGAATCCCGGTCACAAGTTTTCTGTCATTGGAGGAGGCGGGCGAAATATGGTATGATGCACTCTCGTCATGCTTATCGTACTTAGAACTGGATCTCGCCAACAGGAAGGATGAGTCGCTAAGCATTGCTGAACGGAGGAAGAAGATCGTGAATCCGCAAAGGGGAGATATCGAAACAAGGCAGAGAGCTGATGGACGAGTTCAACAACTTCGTGCTAAAAGCCTGGGCAGAACTAGTCGCACGGGAAACGAGGGTCGGTGGCGCAAGACCTTCCATGTCATTGTTTTGTCGAATGGATATCGGGATCATGGCCCCAGATGGCATGAGCCCGAAGCTACGGCTGGGATACTTTGTCAACGAGGTGGAACGTACTCCGACGACGAGCTTCTGGCTATTCTGGAACATAAACAACACCGGAGGAATCATGGCGGACACATTCGCAAAGCTGTTCGAGAAATGGGTCAGATCGATCACCAATGTATACTGCATAGCATAACCCCACATACTGATGACATACATGGCGCCTGTCTAATATTTACACTCGTAACGACGTGAAGACATCAGTACTATACTATATGGAAAACACTGAGAGGGTAACGACAGCTTCTTTGTGCATGCACATAATATTTTATAGACTCTCATAGTATACTATGTTGTGTAGAATACATGGTACACGACTTCAGCAACATATGAGTGTATGCAGCATGGCTGACCACCCCTGCTAAGAGATGATGCTGGCCCACTTGGAATGGTGTTCGTCCTCCTTAATCCATATGCATTGACCTTATAGAGTCGTCTCAAGGTCCATCCACTATGACGAACATCGACGAACACCAGCAAACACCAGCGCAAATCGATCCAGCACCATGGCCCCTGTCCAAATTGACTGTGACAGCCTGTGACTCTTTTTGGAGCAGATGGAACGTCATTCGCAGCCTCTGGTAGGTCGATCGACTTTCGGTGTGCCCACCCAACCACCCCTGCTGAGACCATGCTGCACCACTTGAAACAGTGTTCGTACCATCGAAACCTCGTTCCCTGCGCTCAGGTAGATAGGTACAGGTCCATACAATATGGGGAACGACAGCCAACACAGACGAACACCAGCGAACATCAACCCCTTACCAAAGCCCCTATCCAGACCGTGTCCGAATGGTGGGAGACCCTTGGAACTGGTTCAAGCACATTGATCATCATTCCCAGATTCTTGTATTTCTATATTACTGCACGTATTACAATGAAATAGAATAGAGAATCTACATCAGATAGTATACCAGTATGCCCACCGGGCCTAACATACATCATGTAACATACCAATGTTCCTGTCTGACCAATCCCCCTCGTGGCATGCTGGACCACTTGAAGTGGTGTTCGTCCATACAGTCCCACTTGCCTTGGCCTTGTAGTACCATGTCCTAGGTCTGTACACCATGACAAACACCGACAAACATGGGCGAACACTTGCGAACATCAGTCCAGCATGGATGGCCCTTAGTAACATACTGGAGCACCTGGTGACTTGTTTGGAACACATTAATCATCCACAAATAAAATACATAGTATAACATACCAATGTTCCCATCTGACCACTCCCCCTCAGGGCATGCTGGATCGCTTGAAGTGGTGTTTGTCCCCCCTAGGACCACTTCAATTGACCTAATTTTGACATTCACAGGTCCATACAGCAGGATGAACACCAATGAACACTGCTGAACACTGACAAACATTGATGAACATTGATCCAGAACTGAAGCCCCTGTCCACATTGACTGGGACACCCTGAGACCTGTTTTGAGTGCACTAATAATCCTTCCCTGACTCTCCTAGGTCTATTGCATGTCTTGTAATACAAATAAAATACATAGTATAACATACCAATGTTTCCATCTGACCACTCCTCCTAGGGGCATGCTGGACCCCTTGAAGTGGTGTTCATCCCCCCTAGGACCACCTCAATCGACCTCATTTGGACATTCACAGGTCCATACAGCAGGATGAACACCGACAAACACTGACAAACATTGACAAACATTGATCCAGAACTGAACCCCCTGTCCACATTGACTGGGACACCCCTAGACCTGTTTCAAGTGCACTAACCATCTTTCCACGACTGCTCTAGGTCTATTGCATGCCTTGTAATACAAGTAAAATACATGGTATAACATACCAATGTTCCCCTCGGGGCATGCTGGATCACTTGAAGTGGTGTTCGTCCCCCCTAGTACCACTTCAATCAACCTTATTTGGACATTTACAGGTCTGTACAGCAGGGAGAACACTGATGAACACTGACAAACATCACTCCAGAACTGAAGCCCCTGTCCAAATTGACTGGGACACCCAGTGACTTGTTTCGAGTGCACTAACCATCTTTCCCTTTCCATGACTCTCCTACATCTATTGCATGTCTGGTAATACAGCTAAAATACATCAGATAATATACCTAACTATGCTATGCAGATTTGTATTTTTCGAAGATGTTAAAGAGTTCACATACCAGTCCATGATCCCACCATGAACCCTTCTCCAGTTCTTTTTTGGCATCCATTACCTGAAGGGCCTTCTTGAGATGCAATATTATTTTCTTCACTGCTTCAGACTCATTGGCTATCTCTTTCCTCATGTTATCCCTCTCATCCATGGCAGGCATATGATCCACATCTTCAGCTGACTTGTACTTTCCTTTCTTGCTCTCTATCAGTGAAATCATGGCCAGCAGTGGCCTGTGGTAAAATGTCCCTGGTGAAGGGAAATATTTGCTGGGAACATGTATTTTATAGATATGACATATGACATACTCATTCTGTCCTTCGCCATTGTTGGAAGGGCCAGTACCATCCATATGATGATGTGATGTATTGCTGGATGCACTGCATTAGTGCCTGCCAGCCCATGCATGGTCCGTTCACCTTCAGGAACCTTTGAGCAGTCATAATTGATTGTGATCTCCATGAGATGATTGGTGGAATATGAAAGGAAATGACCCCCAGACATGAGGCCATTCTGCAGAGTGTACACCATGTGGTTAGCCCCAGGAGGCTGAATCCTGTTCTGGTGTCATTAATCATAAGAGCACACTTGGGAATTGGGAATAAAAAATCATACAGAGTATCTCCACATTGAAGATGAATGGTCCTGAGAGGATACTTGTGGAACTTAAGATTGACGTTGTCAGCAAAAATATTGTCCCAGGCCTTGAATAGATTCTCTGTGCTTGCATCCTGACTTCCAGGGGTGTCAAAATAACCCCATATCTTGCTGCCAGACTGTACAGTGATGTATGTGCATAGCCCTGCTGCATCATGGTGAGGGTATGTGACAAAACCCCCATGCATCAGTAGATCCCATCCATGAAGTCGTTTGACATCCCCCAAGACTGCCTGAACACCATAATATGATTTTCCTGTGTTCTTACCAGAATGGGGGAGATAAACATCATTCATGGTCATGGTCTTTGTGTTTACATTGTTGGATAGTTGCCTGGTGCATTCTTCAGCATCCAACGAATCTTAATATGAGTTCCAAGCGATGACATACCTGAGGAATATGGGAACCTCAGGCTGGGTATTTGGGAAGTCAAGGAGGTTCATGCATGTATTTTCATTGTCTGCAAGCTCGATGAATTTTACTCTGCTGAGCACTTCAAAAACTTTGCTCATGTCTGGCCCCCCCTTTGCCTCCTGCTGCTCTGCATGCTTTAATGCATCTAATTACCTTTAGCGATATGAATTTTAGCAATATGATAATATCCATACCTTGAACAATGACTTCTTGTGATATTGTTGGGCAGAAGCGAATGTCTTCACAAGTGAAGTCAAGGGGTGGATTATTTGGCTTCCATCCCCTGACCAACACTGCACATCCCCTCGACAGTGAATCACTGATGTTCGCGATTAGCTGTGCGAGTGAGCCCTTGTCCCCATCATACTTCAGCTCCACTAGCATTGTCTGCCCATGTCCATACTGGTATTCAGTGGCAGATGCAGCCTTGGACATGTACTCAACCACATCACAGTCCTATGGTTGTCATTTATCAGCTCCTAGATTTGAAGTTTCTGTTGAATTTACATACCACTTTACTGAACCATGGAGCATATGTTCTTATATTCAATGATTCCCAATCGATCACCTTTGTATCCAATGGGCAGGTGATTTGATTGAGGAAAGGAACCCACTCAGTGATGGGTTCAGCATCTTCAGCTGTAAATACGATCAGGACCTTGAAGAATAGGAAAGAAAATCAAAGTGCTTACTCCTCTGTCTTTTTTTCTTGTTTGTGGTGCAGTGACCTTCTGGTTTCAACACCTCCTTTCCTTTACCCTTTCTGCTTGCTGATGTGGATGCAATCAGGGAACCCTTGACTTCCTCATCGTCCAATTTCCTCGATCCAGTCCTACCTACATCTCTTGCCTTTCACTTCTGCAATCGGCTACCAGCTTCTTGCATAGGGACTGCAGCCTCTGCAGGTGGCTTTTGAGCCCTGCCAATGACACCTTTGCCCTGCTTCTCCAAATCCTGTCATCATCAGCATGTATTCTCAGAGTTTTGTAGATTGCACACAAACCTGGGATTTGGATTTGGGATCAGAAAATTGCATCCCCATGAGCTGCAGGATGTCAGCATTCATTGGGGGGTGTTGTAATCTGATTCCGCAAAATTCCACTTCCATGGATGTGAGGTAGTGGGGATAGGATGTATCATTAGCCAGCAGCCAGATCCCATTGATGGGGCAAGGTGCAATCATGCATTCATCTCCTGCAACAGTAAGATGAAGAGCATCTTTGGGATCCCATTGAACCCAACCACTTCTACCAAAGATATACATATCATTTGGAGCTAAGTAAATAGTACCCTGATGCTCCCTCATGCCACCAGCATGTGGAATCACACTGGAATCTTTGACCAAGCAGAAACTGACAGGAAACATTTTAATCAGGTAGATTGGCTGGATCGTGGAAGCCTGAAATTGTGATGATGCCATTTCAAGTAGGATGTGAGTGGTCTGTCGTGGTGGAGGTGAGAAATAGTGCAAATCAAAGGGTCAGATCAAACTTTGATTTGTGACCTGCTGAATATGGAACACATGTGCTACACATTGATAATGATACCATGAACTATGCCATAAATGTTACTAATGTCATGAATAGGTAGGTAGGATGACTCATATTCACATTGGGTGATTGGCCCAGTGATCCAATGGTCTGATAGAGGCTATGGCTATGTGGACCCACCCCCCTTGCTCTCTCTGATAAGTATGCTGGACCACTTTAAATGGTGTTCATCACCCTTCATCACCCTGACATCATTCCCATTGACCTTACAGGGATGTTTCCAGGTCCATACAACATGTTGAACACTGCCAAATGTGGGTGAACACCTGTGAACATCATTCCAGCACTGAAGCCCCTGTCCACATTGACTTGGCCAGCCTTCGACTTGTCTCAAGTCTACAAATCATCTCTCCCAGACTCCAATAGGTCTGTTCCATTGCATAGAATACAAAAGAACTGTATCAGATGTTATACAAGTGCACCCTCCTGACCACCTTCTCTCAGAGGATGCTGGATGCTGGACCACTTAGAATGGGGGTTTGTCCCTTAGACCCCAAGTCCATTGACCTTGTAGAGAGACATTTCTAGGTCCATATGACATGATGAACACTGACAAACATGGGTGAACACCCACAAACATCAGTCCAGCACTGAAGCCCTTGTCCACACTGACTGGGCCACCTTTGCACTTGTTGTGAGCCCACGATTCATCTCTACCAGACTCTGATGTGTTTATAGTAGTGAATGCAATACGAGTAAACTACACGAGATAATATACATACCCCAAGGGCATTATTATTACAAAGTGGCAAAGATAAATTGGGGGGAATGATGCTGGAAGTACTGCTGGAGGCCAGCATCATATACATGGATTTAATAATACATAGCAAGAGAGGGAGATGTCCCAACTTTACAGAATTGAATTGCAGCCGATGATACAACACACAAGGGAGGCTAGGGTGGTTGACATTGGGGAGATTAACGAGTACTCTAAAGAGTGTCATGACACACAGGGGTTGATAGGATTTGGTGGGTAATGGGTAGTGATGATATACAACAAAGTTGAGATTGTACCGACTACATGTTCACTATGTATCATCTCTCAATGGTATCAGAAAGGCTTAAATTGTTGCATATAAAATAATTATGTATGTTCAGCAGAATGATTTTCATTACAATATTTGTGATATATTGTAAATAGTTCTCCAATATATCTCACTTTGTTTTGGAATTAACAATCTGCTTTTTTGTGAGCAGAAAGTTCAAAGGGGTAGGAAGTATTTACTTTGCCCAAATATTGTATTGCAATGATGAATTGTGTTCCAAAGCTTGTCTGCAAAACATTCTGCCTTTCATTTTTCAACGAAAAATCAAATCAGATATAAAGTTGTCTTTCCACATGAGAATCATAGAGCAAAACATCAAAAATTATTTCTGGATGAAATATTGAGAATATTATTATACAGCCCCTGGGGGAATTATAATTACAAACTCCCAACCATAATTTGGGGGAAATAATGCTGGGAGTCGATAGATATGTCCATTGGGATGTCCCAGGTGAAATTTGAATGAAATTGGCAGTTGGAAAAAAAATCTACAGGGGGTAGAAGGATGGTCAGACCACAAAGTGGTATCTCTTTGGAAATACTTCTGGGAGGCTAGAAATCATTTCCATTGTCTTCAGTGGCATTGATAACACCCAGGAAATCCATCACTGGCAAGCTGGAACCCCCTCCTGATGTTACTAGATCACCATCCCTGGGGTATGAGGAGGGGATCAGGTATGTCAATGAAACAAATATGGGGACCTTTGTAACACAATTCTGATGGTCTTGTAATGTCATACCCATGGGGTAGACATGATTCAGATAGCTAGATCAATCTCTGAAATTGTTTTGATGGAGTGAACATGGGGAGGGTGGGGTAACATATCTTACATGGATATTCTGACACCTAGGAATGCTGCAACCATTGTCATCATCCATTGTGGCTTTCAGGCCCTCCAGGACAACCATTCCTGACAAGATTTCATGCTTCCTAAACTTTACAGGATTGGCACCCCCAGGATAAGAGGAGGGGAATGACACATAGGGTCCTTTCTGGCATGATCCAAATGGTCCTGCCATGTCATTCAAGTGGCACAGACATGGTATGGACAGCTGGATTGATCTGGAATTGTTTTTATGGAGCAAAGCTGAAGAGGGGGGTTCACATTTGGGCCAGGTATCTGATCAGACTACACTAGGCAACACTGGGATTCAGTTCCATGGGAATGGGAACCACAATCTATATCAACATTGCATTCATCACTCTCTCCCTCTGTACCCATATCCTTGCCTTCCCCCTCCCCATCCCTCTGCTTCCCTCTATGAGGTGGCCTTGCCTCTTCTTGCTGGAGCCTTTCGAGCATTCTTTGCCTTTGATGACTTCTTAGTCTGTGCCTCTTTCAGCCTCTGCCTTTCTAAGATGAGGGCCTTGCTAGCCAGCAGTTCGTCATATCCTGCATGCTCCAGGAGCTCCATCTGCAGTGCATTCCTGGGCTTTACCACTCAAGATGCTCATCTCCTGGCCTGTTGCTGTTCCTTCTTGGTGGAGATACCCTCGATCTTGTAGAACTTGGGATTTGTCACCAGAACCACCTTCTCACCCTCCACCCGCCATGTCTTCCCAGGACTCTTTTCACTCCCTTTGGTCACATCAAGTAATGTCTGAAGGACAGAAAATATCCTGCCAAGGTGGTCCAGGACCTCAAACTCCTCCAGGGGTGTCCTGTTCTTCATCTCCTGGTGATTCTCCCAAATATAGCCAGGCTTTGTCCAGAAGACATTCCATGGTGACCTCCGTGAAGGTTGTCCTGCTGTGGGTCCCGGGAAAAAACA